GTGGTTTTTTTTTTCGTTTTTTTTTTTGCCATTGTGGGTTATGGTTTTTCAAATTGTTATTGATTTTAAGCTTGAAAGCTGAAGTTACAGGCTGGTTTCTGGCCTCCCAAATAACAAACCACAAGGGTCTGAGCCCAGACCCCCGACGACATGCTTCATTAAACAAAAACACAGATGTTACTTTTAAAATGCTATAAACAACATGCACAAGACAACCCTAAAAAATGAATAAATAAAAGTAAACTAACTTGATATATAATGATGATGGGGGGATAACCCTCCTACAAGTTGGTTTCGAAAATTCTGTTTCTTGTTTGCCTACTTCTGTTGTACAAACTTTTAGTAAACTGTCTCTACAGGCATATACAAGCAATGCAAAAATCTTGCATGTCAATTTTTTTTATCTGACACTGACAGCCAATTTACCTTTAAAAAAAAAAAATTCAAATGGATATTATTTAACATGAAGGCCATATTTCTAAAGAAAATGTTCTATATTGATCAGATTTTTGTCATGGCATGTTTTTTTTTTTTTTAATAAGCACTTAAAAACACAAATCTTTACCTCATAAGATTAGTTTCATTTGGTTACTATAATAAATTGACTGATTTATTGAATGGGTCTGTAGCACTGATCTCTGTTTATTCACTAGATTGCTGATAGTCAGTTGGTAGAAAAGGGTGGAGTGAAGTCACGGTCTGCCATATAGCTACACAGGTCACAACAGCGGTCCACAACCTTTTTTGCTGCATGGACCGGTTATATGTCAGACAATATTTTCACGGACCGGCCTTTAAAATGTGGGGGTAAATATGATCATGTAAAATGATCCAACTGGCATAAAATCAAATACAGACATCATGAAAATAAAACTGACCAATATGTTGAATTAGTGGGAGCCCTGAGCTTATTTCTCCAAAACAAGCTGGTCCGGAGACAATGACATGAAGTGTGCTCCTGATATCCAGTCTGCTCCATAGTTTGCTTTGGTCGCTCTAACTGCAGGAAATAGGATGCGGGTTAGGGTTATAGATAGGATGCCTCTTGACCTGAATTAACCTGTGTCAAGAGGCACAGATGCGCCGACTGATGTAATTGCGAGAGAATAACCCAATTTTTTATATTTTTTAAAATAAAACATCACTCAGACTCTGATCCTCCATAAATTTTATTTTTTTTTTTTTTCTGTGCGGCCCGGTACCAAATGTACCAAACATACTATACAAATCCATCACAACAAAATTTGTGTTAATGCAAATTTTAATAATAATACAAATTTTCCAAAAGTGCTTAACTGATAATCTACATGTAATATACATGCAATAATTACATTGTTATGGTAATTACATATTACATATAATTTCAAGGTTTTACATCAAGACTTAATTACAAGTACATATCTGTTAATGCTATAGTATTTTCCTATTTGTAAATTTTGCATGCATGATGCCATATACTTTAATACTGTGTCTGTGCATTAGCCTTTAAATCTAACATAGATTTACAATAGAACTAAATTAATGAACCAATGCATTAACTCCACAGAGCTTCAGTTTCTACGCTAGTAAAATCACATAAATTGGCAAAAAAACAGGCAACGTGAAATTCATATTCTGCGTTTTGCTCATACAAGTACCTGATCATTTGAATATACTATACATACAAGTATGTATGTACACATGAACACAAACACACATACACTATCCAGTGATTGAATACCTTTAATAATTTAAGTTACACATGTAGTGAAAATTCACATTCAAATATACATATACAAAAGTATATGCATTTCAAAAATCAAATATACATGTAACAAAAAAAGTGTTTTTACACTATACTATCAGATATATCGGCGTATATATGGATTTTCTTGGTTAGTACATCCACTGACTGTAAAATTACCTGTGAAATGTCTTACCAGAGCCAGCAAACTGCTTGTTTTTGTGGCAAAATGCTAAACACTTAGACATTCTTATGGCACGTCTCCATGAGAGTGGGGAGTACCAATATGGCGGCAGGTAACTTCACATTTTTTGGGCTATCAAATATCCAGTGAATAAACAGAGATTAGTAGTCTGTAGTTGATTGTTATGTTTTAGAGTGGTGACCAACAACCTGTGTCTCCACAGCTGCATGTTAAGTAGGGTATCTTAAGTATTTATAAAGTGTTTAGGCAATTTTTAAAATTACCTGATAATGACATGAAAAAAGCAATAATACTGTGTATTTATTACGGCTTTTCTTGTCATCCTGACCAGATCACTCACAGAGATATACACAGCTCGTTAAGCCAGACTACAGCACAAACACAACTTAATATGAAGATATGGAAATCGGGAGGTAGCCTTGGACGAATTTTCTTAATTCACAGTACATCCACATGTGACAGGGCAGAAAGTTGGAATGAAACCCACAACTTTCAGAATGCAACACAACTAATATCAACAATGACAAGAAAATTGTAAACATAGAGTCCATAAGAAAGAAAAAAGACAAGTAAAGGACTTCAAATGAAACTGCTGTAAAATATAAAAGAAACATATGTAAACTGGAAAATTATATATTAAAGTTAAATTTTATCAAAGCCAAAAAATAATACTATTTTATTTCGTAAAATAGTTCTATCGCTACATTATTTATTCAGCACTATTCCAAAACTGAAACAAATAAAATGCAACTAATAAAATCTTCTGATATCTTGTATTTTGTTACAGATTTGTCATTATGCATAAGGCTTGGAAATTAACTGCATTTGCAATATAATGGCAGTTTAGCAAATCGCAATTTTCAAATGCTAGTTTTAGTCTCATTACATTTAAAAAGAGTAAGATGCTAAATTTCTCATGCCAGCCTTTTAATGCACTTAAAGTGCCATTGCCACCACATAGAAAGGAAGATATTGTTGTAGCTAAAACCCAGATCCATGCATGAAATGTAAGAACTTTTTCACACTAACAGTAAATTCCTACAACAATGGACTCTGGGCAAGCGATTTTTTCAAAGTCATGAAAAAATAGAAAAAATATCTACATGCATGTGCTCAGTGCAAAGGAAAATCGCAATATTGGATGAGATAATCCCAATTTTGATTTTTGGCAAATCATTTATCCCTAATTATTCATATATAACATTAGTTTTAACAATACTGAGAGAAAGTACAAATCAAAACTGAGAAACCAACCCGTTAAATCTGGACAAAAATGTAATGAAAACTATGAATATGTTTATAAAGGCTTTATATGACATGATTTTGAGCTCCAGATTTGTTTCTGTTTTCTGTGAACACCATGGTGGGGTATAAAAAACTGTCTGAGGTCTACAGAAAGAACCTTATAACAGCTTATTGTAATAGATTTAAAGGGTCTGGAAAGAATTTCAAATCATCATTTCTCATCTTCAGAAAATAGCCTTAAAGTTGAGGACATTCAAAACAACTGTCATCATATCAAGGTTTGGCTGTCTAAGTAAGGTAATCTCAAATGCTGTAAGATGCTTTAATTCATCAAAGACCCTGCAAGACCCCCACAAGACTTATATAATTCACAAATGTTCATATAAAAAAGTCAATGTCCATCAAAGGGAAACATGCAATTTTAACTTTCATGGGATGTTTTCAATGAGGAAGTCTTTGCTTTGAAGGAAGAATGTCCACAAAAACCAGATCTTGTGAAAATTTTCTATGGGGAGCTCAGCCTATATAACAATTACAGTAGACGGATACAGAAAACTCTATTAATCTCAGATAGCAATTTATTTTCAGTTGCATTCTTTTGTTACTAGGCTCAAAAGATTATTGTAAGATGGCTAAAAATAGATTAAGAACGAAATCAAAGGAGTGTAGAACAGCCAGGTTTCACTATAAGATAAAGTAAACACAATAACAGGAAATGCTTGCTAGACTTGATAGAAACACCCCATTTGCAAGAGAGCAAGCCCACTTGAAAGATAAAACTAAGGGAATAAATGAATGATAAAATACTAGTAATTGCCTGGAGCATAGGATGAGGTTTTATTGAAAAGCCGTTACAGTTTGCAAATAAACATCAGATACATGTGATGGTTGGCTTTAACTACACAGCATATATTTATATATATAATAAATTTATAACAACTCATTATATTCTAACTAAAGTTAGTCTCAGTTACACTAGTTAACTTCAGTTAGTCCAACTTCCGCTTCAGCTGCTGTGCATTTACTTGAAGGTTTTGGGTTTTGTATACAACAGAAAAGCAGAAGCAAAGTGCGGGAAAATAAACATTACTGTTCCACTCCTATGCCGTAGGTGGCGCTAACTGCATTTCAAACACCGATTCCTATCCACCAATCCCAGGAGATGCAATGGTGTGGGCGCTGACTTCTTTACTGTTTTGCTTTCGTCTCCTCTACGCTGACCAATCAGAAGAAGCTGTTGCGAGACACCGCCAAGATCAGATTGTGAGAGGCGCTGCTGTGAGCTGGGCTATTAACAGAGTGCATTTGCTACCTTGGAAGTGCACCGGTAAGATGCGTTTACTGACTTGTTGGTCGATCTTCACTTGTCGTAGTCCAAATCCGATGTGATTACGCATTAACCGAATGAACGTTTCTAATGTTACATGCAAAAGCAGCCACGAAGCTAGCGACGCTAACTTTAAGCTAATTCTAGCCCAGATCTTGATGACAGCTGGGAGTTAGCTTGCTCGCTAGCAGCGGGGCTAACAAAGCAGCGGAAATCGCAGTTTCCTAACTCAGCTAGCTCCTAGCTGAGCTGACCACATAACATAACTACTTATTGATCTTCTGTACATGTTTGGGTATTTCAGAAGAGAGACTTCGGCTTGTATATCGAACATGTCAACAAACAGTTCTGATATGGCTATCGCAATAGTAATACATAATGTAGAGCTTTAGTGGTGTCTTTACAAGGCATTAACGCTTAATTTAAAGTAAACGTATAGATTATGTTGAAGCTTTAGCGTAGATTTCGCAGTTAATACAGCCATTGTTTCCTCTATAAAGGCACTTATTGATTTCAAATGTTAAAAAGAAAAACACCGTGGTTTAAATCTCTTGTAAAGAACGTATTTATCTTTAAAAATGCAGATTATGTTAGGCCAGTGCCTTATTGATTGTTTTTGTTTTCGTGACTGTGAGGTGATTCTTGGATTAAAATGATAAAAGCAAATTCAACTCGAAAAAATTAAAAAAGTGAATACTGTTTTATTTTGTCATATTTTAGGCCTTTTTGTGCTTAAACCTGATCAGTTCACCTCTTAGTACACATTTTATCCATTCAAATCGTCCTGATAAACTCAGATGGTTTACTCATTTATCACTATAGCTGCAGAGCAGAGGTAAATGAGTTCCAAAGTTTGGTTTATTCAGATCTTATTTGGTTACTTAACTATAACAGCCTTGGGTTGTAGTCAGCACCGATTACAAACTACCAGCTGCCATACATGACCAACAGGCAAATTCTGGCATCGCTTACCGAATTAGCATCCACAAAGACAAAACATAACACAAACCTTTTAAGAAAAAAAAACGGTTCTATCAGTAAAACGTATATTTTTGATTTATTCCTGAAACGAATTAAAAGTGCATCGACATTGCATAGTTTCCTGTTTAGATGGGAGACACCGACACCTCTTCCTCCATTCTTAAATGCCAACAACAGCCGTCGAAGAGACAAGAGAGTGCACTCGTAAGTGCACAGATCGAGTGATATTAACTGTGCTTAATGTGGGGAAAAGCACATTTATTTTCCCCAGAGGCAGCTCTTGGTCAGACGAGGCTTTAACGTGCAGCAGGGGAGCAGGGATCTCTGAATTTGTCGGGAATCGGCTGAAAGCGTGCAGGGGCTAACTGGTAGCAGGCTAACAGCAACGCTCGCTGTTAGCAGAAACGGTTAGCTAGCTGCAGTCAACAAAAGATTTCTACATTGCTGTCAATATATGATGTGAAGGCTGCTGTTGTAGCGTGAGGCTCTACGGTCTGTCGCCATATCGGCCTCTCAGCGAAGCCACGCCAGTAGTTGTTCACTGTTGTGATAAAGTTAGCTTGTTTTCGTGACCTGTAGCAGAAGTTGGACGATGCCTCTCCTCCGGACGTGCTCTGTACCTGAAGTAGGCCTTGTGCTCTCTTAGCGTAGTGAAAGTTCACAGCATCTAGGGATGATCAAATGTGCATTTTTTTAAATATACAGAACACTTTCAGATTAATCGACTTTAGGGGTTAAAAGTAAAATAGCCGAAGCACATCATCCGTATGTTTGCCAGTGTGAAAATAAAAGTGGAGCTAACCATAGGGATGTAGTTAGCTTTGAATAGTGTGGTCCCAGTCAGCAAATCAACTGGGCCTTGGTTTACTAATAAGTTGGAAGGATCTTCTGGAAACATTTTAGTTTTTATCTGAACTAGCTTTAGTTTTATTATTATTGTAAAATGGTGTTCTTTTGTTAAGCTTGAAATGTTCCAGTCTTTTGTATTTTTTACATTTTTCCCCTTCTTTTTTTCTTTGCAGGAGTCTGAGTATTGAGTGACATAAAATATTTTTTTATCCTGACACAGAACTTTGGGGTCATGGCTAAAGATGTAAGTAAATGTTTATGTTTATTATGAAAGAATATGTATATGCCTCCTTTTGTTTAATTATAATAATAATAATGGAACTTTAATGTTCTCAAATAGGAGAAATTTACCTCTGCATTTAACCCTTTCCCTTGTGGAGCAGTGGGCTGCCATTGTACAGCGCCCAGGGAGCAATCGGGGGTTAAGGTTCTTTCTAAGGAACCTAATTTGAAGGCAGTGGGATTCAAACCATGTACTTGCAAATCTCTCAGAGCACAAGTGGACTGCTCTAACCCACTAGGCCGGGATCGGCAACCCGCAGCCGTGGAGCCGCATGCGGCTCTTTAGCGTGCCCCTTGCGGCTCCCTGGCGCTGTTCAAAAATGTATGAAAATCTATATATTGTTTTTTTTAATATGGTGTGCAGGAGGTCAAAGAAAAATTGTGTTTTTTAATGCTGTATACATTCGTGTAATAAATACATTTAATCAATAATTTGCATCATAGCCATAGAGATCAGTCGTTACAACTGTGCGGTGCCAGGCAAACAAAGTGGCAAAGGGAAATAAGGAAGATAGCTAATGAGAAAAGAGGATTCAAAGAATGGACCGAATCGTTTGCTTTCATTATCAATGCGGAAGGATTGCCTGCATTTTTGCTTTATAATGAGAAGTTGTCAAAAAATACAAATTTGGAAAGGGAAGGCAAGCTAAATATGCAGCCGATCACTAAGTTGGGAGGGTGGGAAAAAGTGCAATTGCGGAACTTCTGGATAAATTAGTGAAGAACAAAGCTAGATTTAAGAATTGGATTGCATCTCCAAACTCCACTACTGCTGCTAGTTTTGTTGCAAGGATGGAAAACCGTCCATAGATCAAACAGGTACCGCTGCAGGTACGTTTACTTTCTTCAATTCTTTCCCCAAATCCTAAATAAAAATCACACCAAAAAACGCTGGTGATGGAGGATGTGGGATCAAATTTGTTTAAAATTCTCTTTATATTACCTGAGAAGATTTGTATTTATTGTTTTAGTTTATATTGATACAGGCCCAGTCTTATCCAAGCCTGGCATCTCACCTGATCCTGATGTAATTCATTCATTAGTTACCTGCTGAGGCCAGAAGTAAAAACTTATCGACTTGAAAATGTCTCAACTTGGAGAATTAGGCATTCATAGTAAACTCATAAATATTTAATTAAATGTTTATGTCAATAAATGTATCTAAATAAAGTTTAAACATTTTCAAGGCATACCTAGTTTTATTTACCCAGTGTTACATAAAATCCATACCATCTTAAGGCACATTACTAGACATATGGGTACTTTTTATATGCAGTTTAATAGAATTCTATATCGGTTTAGATTTATTTTGTGCGAAATAAGGTCATGTTATTATAATTAAATCCTCTATCTGGTTACACACAGTTCAAATTGAGTCAGATTACAGTCAAAATCAGTTGATATTTTGCATAAATCTTGTATTTTAAAAGATCAGTAATGCACTACTCGGTTGTTAATGGATTAAAACCAACCAGTTTTCCATCATTAATCAAGAAATCCCCAGATTGATTATTAGGAATCTTTTTACATGTTTTTTTTATTAATTGAATTAATCAAAACCTTTTCTTTGGGTCATAAGAAAATATTTTTGTTTCTCAGTTGGGTTTAAAACTGCCATCTTAATTGAAGAACCTGCAGAACATTTTATTTTTCTTCTTGCTTTTTACCAGTTGTAAAATTTCACACCCCAATTTCTTTCCCAGGTCTGTCCTTCCTAATTCATTTGTGTTTTAATGCTAGAAGCAAGCCATTTTATACCTATTCATTTAATGTTTTTATTACAAACTAACTGAAATACTTGAGTCTTTCTGGCTATTTGGTTTATTTCCAGCTTTTCATTTTTTCCAAAAATGCTTATATTTGCAGCATTTAGTAGTTTATTTTGGCTTTGATACATGTTAAAGGTCATGTGAGCTATATTACATTTTCAGATTTTGGATCCTGACCCAAATCAAAATGAGTGATGAAAACCACATTTTCTACCGAGAAAGTACAGACACAGTTTCATTTTTCTGTTACTGTTAATGCTTATTATAAATGTTAATGGAAAAATAAATTTTAATTAAAGGGAAAATTGGAGTCTGTAAGGAAAACCTGATAGAAAACTTCAATATGTCACTAAAAACCTGATTAATGCGTCTGTAGTGGGCAAAACAAATAATTTTTGTACAAGAAAAGGCTTCATGATTTGGGAAATAATGCAGTGGCGATGAGGGTAAATATTCTGATGATGCTATTGGGTGCAATGGATGCTTATTTTCTTACATTTTCTCATCTGCGCTTCTCTTTCACCCTCTAAACAATTTGGTAAATGTCACACATTTCCGATCTTGCCTTTTTCTTGCCCTTCACATTAAAATCTAGAGCCCTTGTAAAAGCAAATGCAAATTTATATCTAAGGTGAAACCTCAAGCTTCACACCAAACTATCCTTTACCAACCTGTTCTGTTCACAAGAGTAAAAACTACTCATCTGAACTTTCACTGCTGAAGCTTTGTAATCTGTTCGTTCTCTTCACATTTAGCAAAAAGCTCCTAAAACCTCCAGTCCAGAAGCACATCATCTGACCTACCTTTCTATTAGAATTTGAAATCATGTCTTTTCTTTTTGGTAAAAAATGTTTTAGCTTAAAGGTTAGCGCATTATCAACCAACATTTTAAGATGATAGTATTAGTATAGTATAATAGCATGATAATAGTAATTATCAGAAAAATATATCTACAATTACTCCAGATTCAAGAAATATTCTGCTGTTGGTAGATCTATGATCATACCTCTCAGGTCTGAATAGAAAGATGTGCAGTTTAAACCAGGTATTTAAATGCAGCATACAAGTTTATCTTTTATCCTTTATATGCAGTATTAAATTAGAC